CCTCAAATCTCCAGGAATTCCCCAACCCAGACTTGGCAACTCTAGGAGCTATACTGCACTCTAGGAGCTATAAGTGTGGGAGTGAAGAGACCCAGGGTCAAAATTTCCTGTTCTGCTATAAAAGTCACTGGGTGGCTTTGGCCCAGCTCTCGGGCCAAAGCCTAACCCAGAGGTGCCGAAATCACTTGTTACTTTGTCTGGTGGGGCCATGTGTGCTGTAAAATGTATTGCCAGGTACTGGAGAATAAACTTCATAAATGACGCAGGCAAACCAATTAACAATATTATTTTTTACTCCGCTGAGCTGCATTTGGAGGAGACAGGAGGGGGGGGGGAAACATACCACACTTCCTCTTTTTCGGCCTTCACTACCATTCCTCCCGCCACACTGTTTTACTTCAGCCTCATCGTCCTGCTCCCTAGCAATTTCTGTTCTATTTCTTGGTGGGCAGCCATCTTGGTCTGAAGCAGTAGAACAAATTTGGAGTCCCGTGGCACCTCTAAGACCTTGAATAAAACTTTTGTTGGTCTTAAAGGTGGCACTCCCCCCCCCCCCCCCCCCCCCCCCCCCCCCCCCCCCCCCCCCCCCCCCCCCCCCCCCCCCCCCCCCCCCCCCCAGCAGCCTCCTGCCTTCCCTCCCTCGTACTAGTTGCTCACTAGGGTTGTCAAGTTCCATCTTCGGGGGAGGGGGGGGATTTGGGCGTTGTTCCAGGAGCGAGAGTGGCTGTCCCCGCTGCGATGACATTGTGCAGAACCTTCCCTTTAAGTCAGGGGTGTAATACATGCGGCCTGGGGGCCGGATCAGGCCCCAGGAGGGCTTCTATCAGGCCTGCAGTGGAACTGGCCATCTCCTGCTTCCAGTTCTGCTGCTGCATCATAGCTTGCTTCGCCAGTCTCTTTCAATCGCTCAGCCAATTCATGTTTACCCCTGGGTGCTAGACTCAGAACTCTGAACATGAGACTTCTGTGGTGAATGTCAATAAATCAAAAGTAGGTTTGCAGCTTACAGATACACACTTGAACAGCACACTCAAGATTGCAATAGCAAAGACATTTTGATGCAATAATTTTTTTAAGTTAAAAAAAACCCTTTGCGTTTGTGACCTTTATAAAGTTTATATCTCCGCTACCTGGCATTACATTTTATGACACACATGACCCGGCCTAACAAGGTCTCATTTATGTCAGATCCGGCCCTCATAACAAATGAGTTCGACACCCCTGCTTTAAGTGGTTGGGTGAAAAGTGGGTGCTGCATGAGCCTGCCCTGCAAACCATGAATTTGCCACTTGCAGGACAGGCGCGCATGGCCCCCTCTTGAAAAGAGTGGGTGCCCCACACGCTTGCCCTGCAAGCCATGATTTCACCACTTGCAGGGCAGGAGTGGGTGCCCCCTACTTGAAAAGAGCAGGTGCCGTGCACACCTGCCCTGCAAGGCACAAATTCAGGGCTAGTGGGGCAAGCTCACACAGCACCCGCTCTTGTCAAGTGAGGCTGTGGACAACTGGAGGGAGCCCCAGAAATTGGGGGATCCCCCCCCCCCGGGGACTGGCATTCCTATTGCTCACAGGCCAAATAAGAGCCCAGCCTGGTCGTCATGGTGACCTCTGGCGACCCCTAGTGGGGCTTGGATGTTTCAGAGAGGTGGCCTATATTACTTGCCTCTGTGTCTTGGCCCTGGCGTTCCTTGGAGGTCGCCCTTCCAAGTACTTTCCAGGGTTGGCCCTTCTTAGCTTCCGAGATCTGACAAGATCGGGCTTGCCTGGGCTATCCAGGTCAGAGCCAAATGATCCACTTTCAATGCACTTTCCATTCACTTTAGCAATCATTTGCAAGTGGATTGACTGGCAAAGTACATTGGAAGTGTACTATTCAGAATGTGTGAAAGTACCCTGCCTCTGAATGTGGAGGTTCCCTTTAGTCACCATGGCTAGTAGCCGCTGGTTAGTAGACCTCTCCTCCATGAATCTGTCTAATCTCCTTTTCAAGCCATCTGTGCCTGTGGCCATCACTGTGTCCTCTGACAGCAAATTCCACATTTTAATCACTCTCTGTGTAAAGAAGTATTTCCTTTTGTCTGCCCTGAACCTACTGCCCACCAGCTTCATTGGATGCTCTTGAGTTCTAGTATTTTGGGAGAGGGAGAATTAAATTCCCTTTGTCAATGCTCTCCAGTAAGCCATCTTGGTCAGCTTTCTCCAGGTCAACCAGTAAGCTCCTTGCAAGTTTCCCTCAGAGCAGGTTTGTGAAGGCTACATGTTATGAGAAACACAGGGTTACTGTCAAAAACGGCATCCTTGTGCCAAGTTCTCCTGAGTCTGGTCACTGTAAAAGTTATGCATTTCCCCATCTTTTGCTCCCGGTCAGTAGAAGTTGCACAATATGATGTCAGTAATGGGTCATGGGGTGGTGACACATGATGCAGATGGTGTCATATGATGGTGAGGCAGATTGATAGAATCGAATATAATCGATTCTATTGATTGATTTTGTTGACACTTATGGTCGTTTGCTGTCCTATTTTCACTGAGTTTGTAAATTTGTAAAAAAAAATTTAAAAAAATTGGAAATGGGACCTTTTAGTGTTTGGGATTTTGCTTGAAATTTGCAATCTTAACAATGCTTTCCTGGGAGTAAGTCCCACTGAGTAACTCTGAGTAGTAAGTTGTCTGAGTAGACCTGTTTAGGATTACTCTTTTAGGCTTAGGTGGGTGTAGGTGTGTGGTAGGGTTGCCAGGTGTGATCGTCATTCCAGCGAGGGGGTTTGAGGGTGGTCCCAGAGAGGGCAGTGACATCCCCAACGCGATGACATCACACAGAAGTGACATCATCGCGTCGGTGATCCCACGTGGCGATGCTCTGCTTTTTGGACAGACTCTATGGTTAGAATTGGGCTCAAACCATAGAGTTCTGCCCAAAAAGCAGAGCGTCACCATGCGACATCACTGACACGATGACGTCACTTCTGCTGTTTGGGGGCGGGCTTCCCCCACCAGCCAGTTGGCCGGTGGTGGACAAAAGCCCCGAAAATCAGGGGATCCCCTGCCCAGACCAGGGGTCTGGGAACTCTAGTGGGCTTTAGAAGGGTAAAGCTGTGCTTTGGATCACACTGTTAGTCTTCCGAGACGCAGGCTTTTAAAACTGTTCAGTCTGATCTTTGAAAAGGCAGTCCTGAATGTTTCCCCCCGTCTTTCTTCTTCAAGACAATTTCAAAACACTGAAATAAACTGGGGTTTTAAATAGAACTCTTCTGAAGAGTTCTTTCTTCCTCCTCCCTTCCCCCCAGTCAGATCTGCAAGCAAATTTAGCATGGCTGAACTTTCAGCCAAAGGACAGGATGACAGGACAATGTATCATCAGTGTACTTTGTCATCATTGGGAAGACAAAATTTACCGTCAAGTCTGGCCCAACGCTGAGGGTTTCGATACAGTGACTTCCTTTTATGTGTGGCTGCTACTAGGAGATGGCATTTTTATTAGGGAAGTGAGCGCAGGTCCTTGAGTTCCCATCGAGGGAGAGCTGTGGCATTATCCATATGGCAGCTTGTTGTGCTCTTGGTCAGTCACCGGGGAAGGGAGGAAATAATATACCTTCTCTGGGAGCATAGCTAGACCATAAATAAATAAACAGCCATAACTCTCTTCCCTGAAAGAACTGTGAGAACGGTATCTCTGTGAAGACAGGTCGAGGTCAGGTTGGCCCTGTCACTTAACCAACTATTTCTACTTTTAGTACTCAAGATGGCTGCCTCCGTTTCTCACAGCAGGGCTGCCTTTTTCTCCTGACCGCTTCTGATTTTGGCGCTCAAAATGGCTGCCCCACAACCTCAAGGTGGCGCTGATGAGTCTGCCTCCCAGCCAATCGCTGCCTTGCCGTGTACGTACGTCTGTAGAAAACGCAGTGCACAAAGTGGGCCATGCACGCGTGTTCTTAGAAACTGCCAGAACTTCACTTCACCAACCGAGTTTACAGAAGAAAGGCTCCTTTTGTGTGAGACGTTTTCTCTTTCCGTGCTGGATTCCCCTTTCAGCTTCGCCGCGACGGTGTTTCCCTACTAACCGCACTGTGGCTATCTTCTCTTTCAAGTCTGACAGCGTTAATGAAAAGGCAAAAAAAAATTCAAAAAGGGTGACGGTTCTGCCCCCTGGTTCTGTGTGTGCATCAGACTCTAGAAAGGGAAAGGGAAAAGGGGAGGCTTTGATGCCAACAAGCCGCAGGGAGCTGGAAACTCAAAGAGTAAATACGGTCATTGTAGGAAAGCAAGAGGACTTGAAATTCTGTCCGCAAAGCAAGTTGTTTCTTTCCTCTTTCCCCCCCCTCTCCTGACTCTGTGAGGGAATGACTTGGCTATTGTTGTGGGACTGTTGACTTCCAGAGAAACGTAAGAACATAAGAGAAGCCAATGCTGGATCACGCCAATGGCCCATCCAGTCCAACACTTTGTCACACAGTGGCCAAAAATACCAGGTGCCATCAGGAAGTCCAGCAGTGGGGCCAGGACACTAGAAGCCCTCCCACTGTTGCCCCCCCCAAGAATACAGACCACTGGTGGACCTCTGCTCCATATGCTTATCCAATTCCCTCTTGAAGCCGTCCATGCTGGTAGCCGCCGCCACCTCCTGTGGCAGTAAATTCCACGTGTTAATCACTCTTTGGGTGAAGAAGGACTTCCTTTTATCCATTCTAACCCAACTGCTCAGAATTTCATGGCGTGCCCACGAGTTTGTGTATTGTAAGGAAGGGAGAAAAGGACTTCTTTCTCCACCTGCTCTATCCCACACATAATCTTGTAAACCTCGATCATGTCACCCCTCAGCCGTCATTTCTCCAAGATAAAGAGCCCCAAGCGCTTTAACCTTTCTTCATAGGGACCGTAACATGCGAAAGAAAACTATTTTGGGGGGTACCGGGTGGGGGTTAATGTGTATTTTGAGGACAGCCAGACCCCGTCGTCCCCCCCACAACTAAATCCCCCTGTCTACTTTTGTTTAACCGTTAGGTATATGTAAACGGAGATCTGGTCACCAACATCAGCGAAGGAGGGAGCTTCGGGGAGCTGGCGCTCATCTATGGGACACCAAGGGCCGCCACGGTCAAAGCTAAGACGGACCTGAAGCTCTGGGGCATCGACCGGGACAGCTACAGGCGCATTTTAATGGTGGGTTTAAAATCTAATTATTCGCTTAAATTGTTGCTCTTCTTTCGCAGGTTCCCTTTAATGATGCCATAAACCTCCATGGCACTCGGTGCGGGAGTTTTACGGCAAGCGGTTAAAATCTCTTTAAAGTTCGGTCAGTGCCAAAGGCTCTGCTTTATTTACAAAAATAAACAGCAGAGGAAAGCGGGCCAGGGATTCATGGGAAAAGGAAAAGGCGCTGTAAATCAAATGTCGCCACCCCACATTATCTTTACAAGGCTGTGTTCCAAGCCTAGCCCTTCAGTGCAACCAGAAATTAAAAAATATCTGCTCCTCGCTGGACCTGTGGATGGCTAGACCTATATCTAGGCCTCGATGGTGGACCGGCAATCTATCTGAGAGCCAGTTTTGGTGTAGTGGTTAAGTGGTTAATCTGGGAGAAGCGAGTTTGATTCCCCACGCCTCCACTTGCAGCTGCTGGTGTGACCTTGGGTCAGTCACAAGTTCTCTCAGAGCTGTTCTCTCACGAGCGGTCCTTGAAAGAGCTCTCTCAGCCCCACCTACCTCACAGGGTGTCTGTTGTGGGGAGGGGAGGGGAAGGGAAAGGAGTTTGTAAGCCGCTCTGAGACTCCGGGTGAAGGGTGGGGTATAAATCCAATCTCCTTCCTCCTACTCCTTCTCTATTGTCCAAGCTGGGGCAAAACAGCCAGGCGTAGAGAATTTATGCCGGAGCCGGCCAATCCAGAGGCTGCAGATGAACAGCCTCTGTTTACATTCGTTTCCCCACTTGTCATCCATCATGGAATTCAAGGCCTGAATAGCCCGGTTTGGCCTGAGCTTGTCAGAGCTTGGGAGATAAGCAGATTGGCCATGGTCACTCCTTGGATGGGAGCTCACCAAGGACTACGACAGGAGATGCTCCTCAGAGGAAGGCAGTGGCAGACCACCTCTGTTCCTCTCTTACCTTGAACACCCTAGATGGTTGAGGCTTCCGAGAGTCGTTTGCAACTGGATGGCATGTTTTTCCTCTTAACCTACAGTTCCTAGGATGCGTCCTATCTAGGCATTCACCAGATCCGGATTTGCTTTGCTTCCACTATGGAGTTTCATGCTAATTTGGTTGGTCTAATAAAACGTTGGATTTTGGGCTTGTTTTTGGATTTTGCATGGAGCGATATGGTTGCACAATTTTTCCTCTGCTGTACCCTAGGAGCCAAGTTGTATACATTGTTCTGCCTAGAGATAGCTTTAGCCCCTGCAGGCTCTGTTAGCTTACCAAGCTGGGCCATAAACTCAAACTGTGAAGGCCCAGGCTCAGCCACTAGAGTCTCTGACAGGAATATGGAAATGTTAAAAAAAAAAAAAAAGATGTCTGTGTAGCCCTGACCTGGATAGCCCAGGGAATCTCAGCAGATCTCGGAAGCTAAGCAGGGCTGACCCAGGCAAGTAATTTGGATGGGAGACATCCAAAGAACACCGGGCTTGGGAGGCAGAGGCAGGCTATCAAGCCACTTCTCTGAACATCCTTCATGCTCCAGTGGGAGTCACCAGAGGTCGCCATGACCTCCAGGCACTGGGGCACACACACATGCATGCACACACGAAAAATGCAAAAATGCCCCCCAAAAGTTGTCTGCATCCAAGCAAAGCACAGAATACCGAAATCTTCCCGGACGCAGCTTCTGCCAAGCCAGATGTATCCCACAGAATGTGCTATGGAAACACAAGTTTCTAGGGGTGTGGCAGTCCAGAGAATAGCACGCCCAGGGCCGTGGTTCTGTGGCAGAGCATCTGCTTCACCTGCAAAAGATCTCAGTCTCCAGCATCTCCAGTTGCAAGGAACAAACAGCAGGTGAAGTGAGACCCTGGAGAGCTACTGCTGGCCAGAGTAGATAAGACACAGCATGGCAGACCCGTGGCCTGTCTCAGCATTAAGACACTTCATGCGCTTTCGTCAGAGAAGAAATGTGACCTGGAAGCATTCCAAAAGAGGAGGGCCTCATCACGTGTCCTGCTTGAAGAGTACTGTGGTCATATTGCGTAGTTCTGCCTGTTGCCAGCTCTGGGTTGGGAAATTCCTGGATGTTTGGCGGTGGAGCCTGAGGAGGGCGGGGTTTGAGAAGGGGAGGGACTTCAATAGGATACAATGCCATAGAGTGCAACGCCCAAAGCAGCCATTTTCTCCAGGGGAACTGATCTTGGTTGTCTGGAGATCGCTTGTATGACTACTGTTAGCAGGAAACCAAAAGTGATGTGTACCTTTGGTCCCAAAATGTTTTTATTTCAGTGTCTGCCATTTCCACCATATTTTTACCGGGAGATTTTCAGGCACTGCATGGAGGTTGGCAACCCTGCCTGTTGGCCAGCTTTTAGGCTGAATCCCCACATCATAACCTGCAGGTCTAAGCGTCAAGAACTGCTGCATGCATCAGCTGACACACAGACTTTAGAGAGGCAAAGCAGAGGAAGTGCACTGAAATCTCTCCTCGATAAGGTGCTCAGTAAATGGTATTTGGCAAGCTGAGGTGGTCTTAGCCAATGGGCAGCATAAGAACATAAGAGAAGCCATGTTGGATCAGGCCAATGGCCCATCCAGGCCAACACTTCGTGTCACACAGTGGCCAAAACCCAGGCGCCATCAGGAGGTCCACCAGCAAGGCCAGAACTCCAGAAGCCCTCCCACTCTTGCCCCCCAAGCACCAAGAAGACAGAGCATCACTGGCCTAGACATAAGAACATAAGAGAAGCCATCTTGGGTCAGGCCAATGGCCCATCCAGTTCAACACTCTGTGTCACACAGTGGCCAAAACCCAGGTGCTATCAGGAAGTCCAGCAGTGGGGCCAGAACTCCAGAAGCCCTCCCACTGTGCCCCCCCCCAAGCACCACGAATACAGAGCATCATTGCCCCAGACAGAGTGTTCCATCTATTTCTTGTGGCTAATAGCCACCAATGGGCCTCTGTTCCACATGTTTATCCAACAGGGGCAGCTGCCCCAAGCCCTGTACTTGAGCGGTCCTCAATTGCCCCCTTCCTATGCCAGAAGAGGAGCCAGCTCCTGCCCCATCTAGGGCTTGGGCAGCTGGCTTCCGTTGGCAGCGGTGGCACTGCCACCTTGCACGGGGTGAGGACCACCCTGTGCTCAGCCCCGGTGGTGGTGATTCTGGGGTCCTGTCCTGGACTTTTGCCCAAGTCCCAAGAATCACTACGACTGCCCCTGTTCCTTATACACAGGATGCTAGCCTGTCAGCTAGAAAGCAAGACTAGAACTCTTCTCTCTCACTTTCAGTGCTCAGAAATATCTTTTGTGTGGGGGGGCATGAGCTCCTGGTGGCAATCTTATGGGGGACACCCCAGACACAAGTTGACCACTTCCATGAGGCCAAGCAGAAATAGTACAAAAAAAGCACAAAGCTGTTATCAGTAAAGAAGGAAATCTACAGCCACCACCTGGAGGCTAACATAAAGAAACACCGTGATAGAACAAAACACACTTCTACTAATATGTACTTGTATCTTCATATATTGATTTATTTGCAATACAGACTCTAGTAGATCTTATACACATACAAAAACCTAAAGTACATTGTATCTACTAATAGAAAGTCCACAGCTACAAAGACCTATTCCAACGCTGCAGACTATCTTGCTCCTGATAAAGGACTGATGAAAGTTGCAACAGTCATAAATGGTGAGAAATGCGGCAGGCAGTTGTATTTTCCACACAAAGTGTTTCAGAGAGCATCAGTAAAGAAGGAGGTCTACAGGCACCACCTGGAGGTTGGCAACCCTACCACCAGAGTCTCCAATAGATGCTCCGGATCCGGTGGACGCTGGACATTAAGTTCCTTTGGATCCCACTACAGAGAAAGGCTGGGTAGAAATGAAGGGAATACATAAACACCCAAATAAATTTTAGCATCTAAAGATCCAGCAGAGCGAATTGGCCTTTGGGGCGACATTTTTAGGGGTGCTTAGAGGGGATCTGATCCTGCGAACAGTTTAGACTTTGCCTTGACATAGCACCTACTAGGGGATACTTATGTTGATCCCGAGACCATAAGATGCTGTAAAAGCAAGTTGCCATCTTTTGAGCCCAGACTTTAACCTGTTCCTTTATCAGCAGTTTCTTCCTTAAGCTGTTGGCAGTCGTCACATGTACACATATAGAGCTGCCTTACACTGACTCAGACCCTGGGTCCATCAAGGTCAGTATTGTCTACTCAGACCGGCAGCAGCTCTGGTCCTTTTAAGTGGAGATGCTGGGGACTGAACTTGTGACCTCCTGTGTGTCAAGCAGATGCTCTCCCACTGAGCCACAGCCCCTCCCTACATCTATATATCCATGTCTTGAAAAGTTTTGTCTGCTGATTTCTGCATATCAGACCACTGCTTGAGGGATCGAAGCTGGCCGGGGTTGTTCCTCTGTTGCCCCCCCCCCCTCGAACTGAGGAGTTCATGTGGCCACATCACCACCACCATCGCTGCCACCAGGGCTCTAGTCGGGGGGGAGCTCTCAGGTACGGAGCTCCGGAAGAGAACCTCTAGGGGGCGGGGCGGTCACGTGGTGAAGCCCCGCCCCCTTCTTTACCCCGCCCTCTGCTTCGATCCTCATTCCGTTTGGGAATGAGGATGAAGCAGGAGGGTAAGTAGCCGGGCCTTCTGACACACTTCCGGTGATGTCAGGGGGTGTGGCCTTCTGTCACTTCCGGTGATGTCAGGGGGCGTAGCATATGCAAATAAGTTATGCTAATGAGTTATGCTAATGAGCTCCGGCAGCTCTTTTTCTACAACAAGACCCCTGGCTGCCACTCTGGAGCACAATATGAGACTACAAAATGGGAGTCGTGGATTGTAAACTTGGCATAACTGGTTATATCTTGAAGTCAACAAGCTATATTGGGCGAGTCAAGTCATTCCACTGTCAACATCCCTGCTATAAAATAAGAATAATTCAGAGCAAACCTGCTGACTTTGAGCCGCGACTACTGTTAGCAGGAAACCAAAAGTGACGTGTACCTT